TACACATTCTACATTAATTTCACAAAGGATCACATTCGCGCAAATAAATACATCACCGGATGGTTTCACGGAAAGAAATACGGCCACAGCGGTGGTAACTCTGAAGGAATGGCGGTAGGTACTAGCGCAAATTGGGACTGAAGGACCTGGCATAGCTGCGCCCCGCGTGTGGAAGCATGTAAGCGACAGTACTAACGACGGACTCCGAATCCCTCAAAATTTTGCTGATTAACATTCATTGGCTAAACAACAGGGCCTACCTAAACCACAAAAAGTTTGCTACATCTTTCGCTGAAAGCACGTTGGCGGCATTACGCATTCATGAGGTCAAACGGTACGCTTATGTTTGATATATGAAATTAAGGCTCCGCTTGCACCGGTACAAATCCTTGTCTCTGAGATAAAATTAAATTTACTTGGTATTGACTGGCGATCGCTGGAGTACTTCTGAAGCAGCTGAATCAGAACTGTCGAAGTGGCAATCACGGCCATTCAGTGGCAGTACAATTACCCGACGGGACACAGCACACCTGCTGGACAACGGAAAGAGTTGCTTGCTCGTGATGATTCAAATATTCCAATGTCACCGATATATCGAACTGCATGTTCACATAGAGCGAAGTAAGCCGTGAAAACGGCGCCTGACAGTACTCACTGCAAAGAAAACCCCTAAAACACGTGGTCGGAGAGAAAATACCACAATAACAGAGCTTAGAAAAGAAAATTTTTAAAAAATCTTTTGAAAAAGAAAACACGGAGAGCAGTGCTTTTAAAACTTACGCAACACCGCCTTGTAATGTCACAGTATTGTTGAAATGTAGCGTTCGTTCCCGGCTTGTTCGTGGCCCAATTACTATGGACGTTGTGTTACCACCGGAGCCAATCACATCCGTTGACCAGGGTTGAAATTTCGACAAAACAGTGGCCGATGAATTTACTACTCGAACAGAGTAGTAATTTGCATTCGATATATTGAATTCATTCTGAAAACTAATCTTCTAAATTTAGATTTTGCAAAAGAGTTAAACATTTGCGAAAACTTAAATATCTGGCCTAAGCACGAGCTGCCCGTACGAAGATGCGTTTTTTGCACAGTTTCCCGCAGTTTTTGTCGCTATCGGCACCGGTTTCTTCCGTAAATGCTTCTAGCTGAACAAATTAAGACTGGCCTTCAGAACTGTCAGGAAACACCTCCTTAAAATTTCAGCTTTCTAGCTTTCCTGGCTCTTGAGTTAGCAACTTACCCGAGAAGAATTTGGCGGGCTCTTATGTGGTTACCACGCGTACCCGGAGTCTGGGTTTGAACTTAATGGGACTTAGGTGAACGGGAATATCCTCTTAAAATTACAGTTTTTTAGCTTTTCAAATTCCCGAGTTATCAACTTAGCTAAAAAAACTTTGGCGGGCCCGTACGCGGTACCACAGTTATCCGGGGGATGGGTTTGAGCTCATTAACACCAACTTGGACAGGGAACATCCCCTTAAGATTTCAGCTTTCTAG